CACTTTATGAGAAACAGTTCCTTTACTGTGTACCAGATGAGTTACAGGTGCGTAAAAATGCTCCAGATAATAATACCTCTATTCACAAGATCAAGTAAGCAGTCTTCACAGGGTTTGGAAAGAAGGGACCTTTTCAGAACTGGGTGTCTTTTTTATTGATATACCAACACAGATACTGGTCCAGAATGTCCCCATTAGCTGTTACCAGCAGCTGCTTTGTTGTTTCTGCACTGTCTCGTTTTTGTGCTTTGAGCACACCTGCACTTATGTCTAGGCCACAAAGTGGATTTTCAGGTTAATGGCAAGTTTGGGCCAGTGTCGACAGATTCCATTTTTTGTTACTGCTTTTGTATTTACTAGGCTCGAGTACATGTAGGCCTTTATAGCTGGTCAAGAGAGCACAGCAGTGTTCGCTTTCTGTTCTATGGGTAGTGCTGTGAAGGGGTTAGAATTAAATGCAATAGCCAGTAAGGTTATAGGCAAATTAAAAAATGTGGTACGTACCATCAGGTATTTCTGAACAGAGGATATTACTTGGTGAGTCAGAGGCCTCAATGCCATGTTCCATGTGTTGGGTGACTCTTGTTCCAGGGTGCTCTGTACTGTTGAAAGATCAGCTAATAAAAGGTGCTTCTTTAAGGTGACTCCAACATTATTCATGTTTAAAAATAAATAAATGAATACAAATAGTACAGGCATTAGACAAGATGGAGTGTATGTTCTTCTATCCATTGCAAGAAATTGCTAGCATGAAAAGCAGTGTTTTGATGACCTAGACAGGCTAAATACAACTTCATGGTGGGCCAAAAGAAATTAATAGGTTTTTGATAGATTATATTTTTCAGTTGTGGTTAAGCAGTCTCTTTCACAGCATCATTGCTGATATTTTTCCCTGTACATAGAGGTTCCCAGCATGGATCAGGGTCCTGTTGTACCAGGTATCATAAAAACAGGTAAGAAAAGTCAAGAACTTCAGTGTTGTGTTTCTAGGCTACCTTTCTATGGTCCTGATAACCCCAGCCTTCTGGTGAGTTTTCTGCTGATACTAGTTGAAATCTTTTTGAAGGGAAGATGTCTGTTGGAGGGAAGCTAGTAGGCAGTTACTGCCTTTGGTTGGATGGGGTTAAGTGTTTCAGTCACATATTTAATGCGTGCGTGTGCGCATGTTAGATGATCAGGTAGTTCGGTGTGGAAGACTGAGCCAGGGTTATTGCACCATTTTGAACAAATACTTCCAGACTTTCAAAATGAACTATAAAGGGTTCCGACTCGTCAATCCAAAATCCATCAAATCTGTTTAATAAAAAAATATGGTAGCTAGACAGTACTTTTGTGCAATTTTACACCTTCTGTCTCAAATTAAAATATTTGGAGCTGTGGTGTCTGTTCTTAAATCCCCACCCCCACCAGTAATTTTGCTCATATGTTATCCATAAATCTTGTCTGTTTTAAACCTTCCAACTAATAGTTAGGCAAAATGTTTAGCATAATGATATGATTAACAGAGTCCATTTTTTTGGCAGCCTGGATGCTGTTTTTCTTAAGCAAGCATTGCAGTTTATCCTGATTAGAGATAGGAAGGAATTATTCCTCTTCTTGAAGGTTTTTCTTGGTTTTTTCCTTTTCTTTTTTTTTTTTTTTTTTTTAATATGAGGATTTAGGGGTTCTGCATTCATTTTGCAGTAATATAACGTGTGATTTGGCTGGATCTTTGAAGTGGTAATATTATAAATCTCCCAATCACCATTGCCAATCTGTTTTAGCATTCATGTGCCTAATTTCTGTTTGTAATCTGATTACTGGTTTGAGCTGCTCCAGCTTGCAGCCTATTGCTATGCATTTACTGTACTCCCTGGGACGCGATAGCCTGACAGCTCCCGTCCTGTGCTATGAAAAATCTCTACACGATATTGCTAAGACAGGCCTAGGGCTGTGGCTGTTTGAGAATTAGCTGCTATTGTAGTTTCTCTTTGCTGAATCCTTTGTTTGTGCAACCATGTTCAGAAATCCTTGGATCTCCAGCTATTTGGGAAATGTTAAATACTCTGAGGAGCAAGGTAAGAGTTCCAAGTAGATGGAAGAAAATGCAGTTCATTTGTCTGTGTTTAATCTCTCTCGTATGTATGTATGCATGCATGTGTAAATATTGTTTGACTGGGTCTTCTGCAGCTACATTAGCTACTTTAGCAATCAGTATGCAGTTAGTCACCTAGGCTATTTCATTATTTCCTAAAGGACACTTTTGAAAGATCCGATTAGATGGATCTTTTAATTAGCTTAGCTTGCTACCGATTTAGGGCCTTTAAATATACTAAGTCATACTGGAAGGTTGCGTCTGCTTTTTTTTTTTTGAAGTCAGCATTTTTAATTTTCTGTGTATTAAACTATCGACAGTGGTTTTATCCGGTAGTTTGTACCTCAGAGGGAGGGTGACCAGACTGAACAAATGGTTAAACTTGTGAGCAAGTTTGATTTACACTTCAGTAAATATACTCTTAATTTTAAATACAAATATTTAAAATTGTTTTCATGTGGTTATGAGCATGTTTAGAATTCTTCAGTGAAAGAAGGAACAAAATGCTGTTGCAAAGGTTTTCCTTGTGTGTATCAGGTACTGTGAGGGTGGGGTTTTTTTCTTTAAATTAAGATTGTGTTAAACTGATGTTTCTCTTGTGGACATATTTATTTTCCTGTGAAGCAGAGTTGTTTTACTTTTTCTCCTGTGTTTGTATTTAATTTTAAGACTTCCATGTTGTAGTAAGTAAGTTTTATTGGACTTTAATCCTCCCACATGGGGTTTAATTTGAACAGGAGGAAATACATAAAATATCAAAACTGTGTGACAGAATATAATTGTCTGGTTGGTTTTTCTGTGTTGGGGGGGGAGAGGAGCTTGCCCGTGTTAAATACAGCAAAGTTTTAAGATGTTTTTGAGGCATTATAGATGTGGTATGTATGAATGTTACTGAATGTGTTTAATGGGTAGCAAAAGTCAGACCAGCTTGTGTGCTCCCTCTTAGAAGCCCTTCTCCCTCCCTTCTCCCAGCAAAGCAATGAAAGCTACTTTCTTCCATTCTCATATCCCCTCTCCAGTTTTGGCTAGGGTAGGGAGAATTTCTCTGTGGTCTACTTGTGGTTTTCATGGTGGACAGCTGGTTTAGTGCCAAAAACTATAGGATGGGTTAGATCCCCTTAGAACAGCTATAAATTTAAGATATGCCTGGTTCTGTTTAGCTAAGCTGATACTGAGCTGGGCTTTTTAAGTTACTGCATACTCTTCTCACAGTAATGTAAATCTGGCCTTTTTAGAGGATACTTACGGCATGGAGTATTCTTTTTAATGTAGTGTAAAATACAATGATTTGTATACCATTCATACTATTTTTCTTATAATACTCTGTTTTGGTCTAGCAAGATGTTTCTGTGTAATCTGTGTGCTTTATTCTCTATTTACTTGGAAAGATAAAATGAATGTTAACAATAACAGGAAAAAGTTGCCTATTAAAGTTGAAGAATGCTATTAGCAAAGCTGCTTGAAATCTGCAGTGACTTGTAACAGATGCCTGAAAATGCCTTTTTGCATATTTTAAGCCTTTTTATCAAGCTGTTTCTTTTACTTTTTTTTTTCTTTTTTTTTTTTAAATGTGTTTACCTGCAGAGGTGGCAGAATGAAGTGGAAGAGAGGATGAGGGTGAAAAGTTTCAAAAGGCATAGACAAAAGATACATCCTCTGAATTAAGACCCATGTTGTCAGCTATAATAAGTTTCATTAAACCCTTTCTGCAAAAATAAGACACTTAGATTACTTAGATTTTAAAATATTTTGTATAAGCAAAAAATATTTTTTGCTAGTTAATTCTTCTTTGAACTAGTTAAATCTCAGTTCTGAGGTAGAGTAAAAGGGATGTTGCTGCTTTTGAAACGTTCTGAAGTCCAGGTTGTGTAATATTCGGGTCTGTCTTTGAAAGATAAAATGAACGCTGCCTCAGTGACCAATTGTTTATTAATTTAGGGTCTTGGGGCAATTGGCTTAATACAGATGGGACAGAAGGCAATTTTCCCATTGGGAGTAAATTATTAGTAGCTTTGTGTGTTTTTCAACAGCAGTCATAGACCAGGTGCTCCCCTACTCCCTGGCTAGCAGTTCTCCAAGGTCTCTTAATGGCATTCTCACTGTTGAATGGAGGCAGCTGTGGTACTTGGAGCACTGGTCCCCCTTGCCCCACTGGTCATTGTTTAGACCCTCTGATGATGCTCTTGACTTCAGAAAAGAAAAAGTGAAATCTGGGGGGAGAGAGGGGAGATTCCCCATTACTTGTTATAGTTCGCAAAGGTTTGGGAACTAGTGGATTTGTGATACATACTTTTTGAATACAAGGCTGCATCTGACAGTTTTGCTCTCAGTGTAAACACGTGTTCCTCTCTGAAAGTAAGCATGTTCTAAGGCTGTTCAGAAAAAAATGGGAGCTTCCAAACAGTAGACAACCTTCAGAAATATTTCTGTTATGGATGGTGTAATACTGTAGTTGCAACAGATCCTCAGCTGGGCATCTCCAACTTCTGCAGTGAATATGCAGTTTTTATAGTATTGCTAGACTGCAGCCAAAAAGGCTCTTGGTGCTTGCAGTATTTCTCATTTGCAGAGTGCTTCATAAACATGTCTACCGCCCATTTTATAAGCTGGGAAACTGAGTCAAGGAGTTTAAATGATAGCCCCAGGCTGCAGTGCTGCACCATGAATCCTGGGATTAGAATATGGCAGTTCCATAAAGTGTTGATGCTTTTGATATGTTTACTGTATGTACTCATTTTTGCAAGGCTTTGGTTTATCACCATCTTGGACATGTCACCTTATGCTGCTTTGACTAGGGGGAAGGCCTTCGTACAGTCTTTTCCAGTGGAAAAGGGCTATGATTGGAGACTATAACCTAGTTTCCCAGAAGTTCCCTGTTTATTAAACCATCTTCACCAAGGTGTGGTTTTTTTCATTTCACAGATTTTGACAAAGAAAACTCAGTCAGATTTAGACCTTCACGATTGCTCCAAAGGAAGAGAGCGTTAAGGTAAGTCAAGTTTTTCTTGCCCAGTGAAGATGACTGGTTGCATGCTTGTAACTTGCAGTCATTGCTTGAATCTGTTTGTTCTTTTGTCAGGGGAAAATGATTATTGGTCCTCTCGCAGGACCAAGCTTTGGCATAATACAGATGCTCTGAACAGGTATTGAAAACACCAACTGCCTCCTAAGTAATGTGAAAATTTATAGCTGACATTGCTAAGGGAAGAGTCCCACTCTGCACTCAGCCTCCTGCCACTGCAATGCCCATTTTTCCTTGCATGGCACGGACACAGTACAGACATTTAGCGAACCAGCTTGGAAAACTGATCTGTCTGAAAAAGAAGGTGGCTGAAGTGGGTGAATTAATTATACAGCTGTGCAGAGAGGTTTGTCAGCACATGGGAGGGGGCATCGCAGAGATGAATGGAGAGGTGACGTTGCTGCTTCCTTGCAGGGCCATGCTGCCTTGTGCCTGTAATCTTAGGGCACAGTTCCACAAGGCTGAGTAAGGGGATATAGTTCACAGTTAAGCAAGGCAGCAGGTCACGTTCCCTCTCTTTTTCCCATCCTCACTCTGACTGGTTTTTGGTGTCCACCTTTGTGCTTGCTGAACTCATTCATAATGGTGCAGAGAGGAGGTCAGGCAGCTGGGAGCTGACTCTTGCCCCAGCAACCAGCTGTTTTTTGGCTTAGCTGTGCAGGAATCCACCAGCCTTAGGCACCAAGGCTCATGTTTGCAAGCATCTTTTTAGTCAACGCACACCTTCTGGAGTGTACCTGATTCCCTGCCATATTGTTTCTTAGGTATTCTTAGGTACTGTAGAGAGATGGAGGGAATAGATGTACAAGGCTTATTGTGTTATGGAAGGCAAGGTAGAAATGAGAGTAGCAGAGAAGGATGTGGTTGTAGAATGGACCTTTTACTTAAGAGTCCAGGGAAAGAAATTCTCCTGGAGGTAGAGAAAGAGAAGATAAACTAATGCCAAGCACCTAGCTGGCAGGTATACAATTGGATTTTCAAGCATGTGTTTCAATCGCAAAATCTCAGTATATCCCATATCTTTAATCCAGGTGGCAGGGCAGTGTCACCAGTGGCATTTGGATCAAACTTCTGCTTGCTTTTGGGCATTTAACTAGGTTAGTGGGACAGCTATTTAGAAACTGTACACTGCTGCTGCAGCAGCAGATGAAGTTTTCAGCCTGGAATCTCTGATCTATAGAAGCAGCCCACACTTACTTTGGAAGTTGCAAGAGCGGTGTAACTACCGAGACTGTCAAATACTCTACTAATGCCACATTATACATTGTTTTTAAAGAGAAACTGTTGAGGTTTTGAATTATTGTTGCCTGTGTTTTAGTAGGAATTGTATGAGTTCCTGAACACTGGAGACTATAATGAATTTGTTGGGAGCCTGAGGCCAAACCACACACAAATCCTGTGTGAAACAAACTTGTGGGACCTCATGTTGTTGGTTGCATTTCATGAACCATGATCACAGGCTATATTTCAGGCAAGCAGAGGAAGAGAAGTTCCTCTTTCAGTATCCAGTTTTAACAGGAACTTTAAGAGGAAAGAATTCTTGCAAACCTCTAATTTTTTTTTTTTATTTAGAGAAACCCAAGTATGCCTTAAATTATTTTAATAATGAATATGCATAGCCTAGCTGTTAAATGCAGAAACTCCTGGTGCTGCTGCTTGGAATCTGCACCTAGGTTTATAGCATGACTTGAGAAATTAAGCAAAGGTAAGTAGATGTAGTTGTGATACTTCTAGAACAGGGTTGTGGATGAGTTTGAAGGTACAATATACTTGGAAATCCAAGTCTGATTGTCTGACTCTGCTTAAGCAACTAAATTGTTGCTGCAACTGCTCCTTTAGTAGAGAAACTAATAAAGGAGGAAGACATCTGGATAGATCCCTTTGAGGAAAAAGGGAAGTCTTGGTAAGGAGTTACTTGTGAGCATATTTTTTAAAAACCATTACGAGTAGTATCCTGTAATTTTTTTTCTTTTACTGTTTGGAATTGCTTTAACATCATTCTGACTCAATTTAGATTCCTAATGAATGTTCTTATTGAATACTGTGACATGTCCTAAATATACCTACTTTCATTTTTGGAACTAATTTTGTATATGTATCTATAAATAGCAAATTGTTTGGCTTGACTTATCATCTTCAGTGCAGTGCTTTGTCTCTGAATTCTCTGTGCAAGTTAAAGCAACGTAAATGATACATCAGTTTAAAACATATTGTGTTTCTAATGTGCAAATATTTAAAACAGGCAATGCCACCTGCAGCTTTGCAAGAGAGCAAAAATGTCTGAAGAGGAAAAAAGCCTCCATTATGGATAAAATAGTCGGTATATGAAAATAGTTAATAATTTAAAAATAAACAAGTAAATAAAAGTTGACACTCTGTCCAGAGGGAAATGGAAAATGAGGGCATAAGGGAGACTGTGAAGGGACTTTCACAAAGCAGATAACCTGTGATGCCAGGTAGCCCAGTGAGGGTTAAGCTTAAGAAGTTTGTAGTTATTAAAAGAATTTTAATGAAATCTGCCAGTGATCAAAGGTTGGAAGCCACCCTCAGTATAAAGGAGGAGGGAGCTCACATGCAGGAAGAACTGGATGACCTTGAGGAGTAATAGAAAAGGGATGTAATGTAATAATACTAAGTGCACAGTTGTGCATTGGGGGCTGATAAATTTTTCTGTCACTTGCAACTGATGAAAGCAAAGCCTTGGCATATTAGTTTCTCATGCGGGATTGAGCAACCAATATAGTGTAGTTATAAAAAGGCAAATGTGTGGTAGATCCTGGCATTCATCTGGCTAGTCATATAACAATGCTTTCTCTATTAAAATTCCTATTTTTATAGGACACTGCTAAGAACCAGGTCTGGAATGGACTGTCCAATTCTGGACACCAGATACAAAAAAAGGTGACTTAAAACTGGAACAGGTAGAGAGCGTTTTTACAGATAATCAATGAAACTGAGAGCCTGTCTTGAGGAAGCTGAGTAGATGTGGAAAACTTCTGTTAAGAAAAATAGGTAACCAACAACACTGGCATGAGAACAAATAGATGGAAACCCAGTGAAAGATACTTAGACTCCCTGGAGTTTGGAGGAAGGGGCAAGGAGTGAACCGAACTAGTTTGCAGTATTTAAGAGTTTGCTGAGGATCCACAAACAATCCAACAATACTGTTCTTTTTAGAACCAGCAGGCTAGTGCCAGTCCTGATTCTGTGTGATTTTACCCTTGGAAATTTGTGTGGGACTGAGGCATAGTTGTGGATGTTAGTGCGCAGTTAATTTAAACAACCATTTTGCTGTGTGAGTGAATGCTTTTCTGTACAGAGTCCCATGTTTATGGAAACTTAAGGTGCTGCACTGTCACAAGCATTATGGAAGCAATTGGAGATGCTGCTAAATAAAGCCCAGGTATTCAAAAGTCGTGAGCTGGGTCCCTCAAGACACAAGTCTTAAAGTAACCAAATCAGTTTGACAAAATAAATTCTGGTTTTGATTTATAGCCTTAGACCAATATTATTCCCATTTTTCAAACTCATCCTCAGCCAAAAGGGGTAGAAACTGCTTTCAAATGGAAACTGGGAGTCTCTCCACCAAGGTGTTCCCTAGAAGCTGTGTCTGTAAGAAAACAACATATTGTTAGGCTAATAAGAATCATGAGTGTTTGCAATGTGGGGTTAAGCATACAGAAACGTGCAGTTAACTGTCCGAGTCTCTGCCCAGTCTCAGATGACACACACACCTATTTGCTTGTGGCTGCTGTGTGCTATCTTTTTATTTTATTTTGGTTTTTCTTTAGCTCCGTTAAAGTGGTTTTGCCCTGTAAGGATACACAGTTTTCTGTAATGGACAGCTTAATGCAGCTCTTCATCTTCTATTTGCTATTTTTTGTAGTGGTTAACGTTGCTTTTCTTGGCAGTACCTGGAATAATTTCTGTAAGTGCAGTTGTTGGAGACCATTTGCAGCAGGTGGCATGGTGCCTGGATGTGACACAGCCCAGTTTCTTTATTGTCATTTCAAGGGTTTTATTCTCTCCTCAATGTCTTCTTACAAAGGAGTATCATTTATAAATGATAAAGAAGCAAATCCTTCTTGGAGTTCATGTAAAATGTTATTAGTCATTATATGTTAAAACTCTTTTCAATGAGAAATGTTCTTCTGGAATAGTGAGTACAGAAATTTTTTTTTATTATTATTTACTATTTTTTCTTTTCTAACCAAATACCCTTGATGAAAGGGTATTCAATTCTTTAAAAAGCCATTTAAAAACTGTCCTAAGGAAGGATTTTCCAACAGTAAGGCAGTGCAAGTTGTCTTGTCAGAATGACAGTAAATCATATGCCACATCACTGCCATGGCAAAATAAAAAGTCCAGGATCACTGTGGGGATTTGTATCTGTTACACCTGTCTACACAGTTTACTAAAGGTTTTAACACTAGCATAAGTTTTCTTATGCCTGGCTGAGATAGTTTAGAAGTCATAATGGTGGAATACAGCAGTTTTCTCTCTATTTTAAATCAGTGGAGAGAAGAATCTTGCTTTGTTTATACACAAGGAGGAACACTTCCTCCAAAAAGTGTCTGTAGACAGTTAGTATCTACTTTAGACCATTATGACACCTACATTTTATAGGTAAAATTTGTATATTTAATGAACATATTTAAATATTTTGTCTCATCTAAATGGTATTTTTGCTGTTTTGAAAAGACAAGGTATAAAACTAAATGATCTGCTGCTCATATTAGTGAGCAAGCCATATAAGATCCAGAGATCAGTGCAGTAACAGCAATAGGGGCAGTTGTGCAAAAGGCTTCTAGGTGGAGTGTACATACAGTACTGCATTTGATGAAATAAGTTTTAATATTTATGGAGAAGCATTTGATATAGATTATTTCAAATGTAATTGCTAGTAGAGCATTTTGAAGGCAGTCTCCGGTCAGTAATTTAATGCAAAAATGTGTCACAGTCAGTTCCAAACAAGTTTCAAATTATGTTAGGTTTGGCTTTGTGAGTTTCTTGGGGTTATTTCTTATTTTGTTCTTATGGAAAATATTTTCTTTGGTATCTCTGTTAGACTGTCTTGCAGTAAATTGGTTACATCTTGGCTTATTTGATTTGTAGCAGAAACATCCACAGTTCTGTAAACCAGATGTTGCTTTCAGTTTTCAGAAGGAGTTCTCATTTGAAGATAAAGAACAACTTGCAAACAGCACAAAGGATATTGATGCTAATCTCTTAGCAGTACTTCCAAAAGGTACGTAAGGGAGACACATTATGAACACAAGTGGTAATTTAACAGCATGTGAAGTTTAGTCTATGCAAGTGCAAGGCACAGTTAAAATCACTTAGGCACAGATGTTTTGTAAATGAGTTTTCTTTTTCCTGTGAAGTATGCATAGGGGATGAAACGGGGTGAACCACAATGCTCTTTTACAAGGCCTCGTTACATACCTGCTTCATAAAGTTCAGTTTTGTTTACCTAGTTTTCAATAGGTTAAGAAGTAGTTGAAATTCAAAACTTCAGAGAGGTTTCTTTGTACAGTTAGATTAATACTGAATTCAAAGGTATTAACTTGGCTTGTAGTCATAGCTCTTTCCAGTCCCCTTTGGTGGTTGGTAGAATTACTGTTCTTGCATGACCAACTGACTACACACTGAATTTTACTCTTGCATGCTGAAGAACCTGCACTACATATGGGTTTGGGGATTTTTTTTTAAACTTCTGTCTTAGTCTGAATAACTTATGAAGAAAACAGCAGTTCCATCTTTGTGTTTTGACACAGTGGAGGTAGAGGTGAGAATTAATTCTCTTGAATTATTTAGAGGAAATCACAGTCTGCTTGGAAATAGTTGTTGAACCACTAAAGGGCAACATTTGACTGAAGAACTGCATGTAACTGGCATAAAGATTTTCCCTTCACTCAGGATCAGAACTTCAATTAAAATTGTGTGTGTGTGTTCTGATGGTGTTTTTACCCTTTTCAGGCAAACTACAAGGCTAGATGCACTAATCCCAACATAAAGGAACTGGCTTGCTCTTTTATAGAATCATAGAATCGTTTAGGTTGGAAAAGACCTTTAAGATCATCCAGTCCAACCATTAACCTAACACTACCAAGTCCACCACTAAACCAATTAAGGGTAGAGTAATAATTAATGTCATGTTTCATGGCTTGGTGCCTGGATTATTTTTTAATGGAAGTAAAAACTAGGAAGTGTTAAGGTTGGAAAGGATCTCTAAGATCATCAGTCCAACCATCAACCTAACACCACCATGCCCACTAAACCATGTCCCAAAGTGCCACATGTACCTGTTTCTTGAACACTTCCAGAGACGGTGACTCCACCACCTCTCTGGGCAGCCTGTTCCAATGTTTGACTACTCTTTCCATGAAGAAATTTTTCCTGATATCCAATCTAAACCTCCCCTGATGCAGCTTGAGGCCGTTTGCTCTCATCCTTTCGCTAACTACTTGGGAGAAGAGACCAACACCCACCTCACTGCAGCCTCCTTTCAGGTAGCTGTAGAGAGCGATAAGGTCTCCCCTCAGCTTCCTCTTCTCCAGGCTAAACAACCCCAGTTCCCTCAGCCGCTCCTCATACGACTTGCTCTCCAGACCCTTCACCAGCTTCGTTGCCCTTCTCTGGACATGCTCCAGCACGTCAATGTTTTTCTTGAACTGAGGGCCCCAAAACCAGACACAGTATTTGAGGTGCAGTCTCAACAGTGCTGAGCACAGGGGGACAATCACTTCCCCGCTCCTGCTGGCCACACTATTCCTGGTATAAGTCAGGATGCTGTTGGCCTTTTTGGCCACCAGAGCACACTGCTGGCTCATGTTGAGCCGGCTGTCAACCAACACCCCCAGGTCCTTTTTGGCCAGGCAGCTTTCCCGCCACTCTACCCCAAGCCTGTAGCGTTGCATGGGGTTGTTGTGACCCAAGTGCAGGACCCGTCACTTAGCCTTGTTGAACATGGTTTAATGTCATTTGTTGCAGAGTTCCTTTAGAAAGGAGCCCTTCTTCCAGCATAACATTTAAGTGATATTTAAATGATGTGCTTGCTTTCATAATACAATCATTATAGATGTTCAGAAAGAGACTTCATTGACAAAATGATGGAATAGAGTAATATGCATTTATACAATACAGACTTCCTGAGAGCACTAGTCACTAAGAATACATTATTCCATATACTTAGCCTCACAGCTGTGCTGGCCAACAAGTTAATTGTGTGAGCCTTCACTTGAGAAACCTTCTCTCTTAAGTTCCTTCTCAGTGAACTAATTTCTATTCCAAGATGTGTCTATTTCCTAAGAACAACTTCTTGTAATAAAGGCATCAGATTTGGTGTCTACCAGACATGAGAAAAAGTTAGTAGTGGGAGCTCACGGTTACATTCTAAGGGGTCTACTTGAGGCCAAACCACTTTCTGAAAATCCACGTTATTTGTCCCGTCTAGGGCCTAACTTTGATCCAGATTTGCATGTTGGAAAATCAGAGGAATATATTTAATTTTCAGCTGATACAGACTGAACTGAGGTTCAAAGAGTCTAGCTGAAGTCTCACACGTTGCTGCCTGCAGTTAAGAATTGAACATGTAACTATGCCTCTGCTAGCATAATCAGAAGGCAAATGCTTCTCCAACCTGGTTTGTAGACCATCATCTTTCCAGGTTAGGAGAGGAGGAGGTAGAAATGAGGCTGGTAGTCTTCACTGTTAAATTCTCCTCAAAATGAAAATGTATATACCTGCGTTAGAATGGTTATTTACCACCTCCAAGAAATTAAGCCTCTGGCAGATAAACTTTTGATCCACATGTCTTCAGGCTTCATAACTGTATGTGTTCACTCTCTAGGCTTGTTTTAGTTTTTACAGCTTCTGTATTTTAAAAATAAAACTGTCACATGCCTGCAACTTTATCCACATGTATCCCCTCTGCTGTTACCAAAGAAGGCTTTCAGCAAAAATATATTCATATTCTGTAACAAATGTTTCTGAAAGATTTCTGAATTCTATAAGAAATCCTTTGTCTTAATTTAAGGAGTTTTTTAAACAGTTTTATAAAGTGCATTCCGAATGTACTTGTTATTTTCTGTTCTGGGATGAGACATGGAACAATACTGCTTTTGCTAAATACTGGTATTATAAGATAAATTCTGCTCAGAAGGTCTAAAGTTACCAAAATTAAGATGCCTCTTGACAGTCTACCTTAGAGGGTATCCTACCATAGCAATCCTGCTCAACATCCTAAAATAAAGCCTGAAGTTCAGGGCTGTTCCTGAGCTTGTCTGTTCTTCCTGTTGCCCTTCACTATACTAACCAACAGTGCTTACAAAGTGTGTTGGCATGAAATAACTTAGATAAGGAGCTTTTACTGTGAAATTAATTATTTTAAGCTTCTTAGTCTTTTCTTGTGTGCTGAATCAGATCTTTGTGCTACTTTTTAGGTAGAAGTGTTGTTATTCTTTAATGCTGTCATGGGTGTCTTTGAAATGGTGTATTTTCTGATGGTCATGTGGAAAAATATCCCATGCACAGATGGGAAATTGGCACCAACACGTTCAAATTGCAAACTGAAAAAGAGAAACGTGATCACCTAAGCTTGCAAGGGCCAACCAGTGCCCTTGGGAGTGAAATTTCTCCAACTGGCTTTCATGTTTTGAAGTCAAATATTTTATTCAGCAAAAAGAAATCACTAGAGTGAAGACTTCCTGCATTTTATCTTCTTTTTGTGCTTTTTTGTGCTTCTTTTCCCCGCTTCCCCAGAAGAAGAATATTGCTGAAACTGCTTTCACAAAAAAGCTCTGCAGATGTTGGCCAACCTAGCTGAAATTACTGTCTGGAATCTCAAGTGTGGAAAAAGTGTAAGGCAGCATAGAATAGTCCCATGCTATTTTTGTCTCATCTTGTTTGGGAAGGTGTTGGAGAGATGCTTCATGAGGCCAGTGCTCTTTTTAGGACTGCAAAGCAGTAGTAGAATCTCTGGAACTTCAGCTAACACGTAGCAAGAGGGTGTTGAGCTAATGCTGCTGGGAGTTCTTTGGATGTTCCACATTTCTTTTATGTGGATGACTTATAGTCAAGTTTCTTTTTTTTTTGGGGGGGGGGGGGGGGGGGTGGGGGGGGGGGCAGGACGC